GACGCCCTCTTCTTTGAGTTGTCGTCTTTGTCCCTGTGAGTGTCCGGGCGGGATGCGTTTCCCTAAGTACGCACACAATCCCTCCTCCTCTTCTTTGATCCTCCATTTTTTCTTCTTTCTCCCCCTATCCTCTTCCCTTTTCCTCCTTGGCGGAATGCGGCGCCCTGAATACGAATAAACACACACACACAAACACCACACACAAACACACGCAACACACAAACACACAAAAACACAAACAAACACAAACACGCGACCATGCAAACCCGAAAGACCGCAAACACACAAACACAAACACACAAGCACGCAAACATGCAGACACGGAGGCACACAAACACACACACGCAGACACGCGACACGCAGACACGCAGACACGCAGACACGCAGACACACAGACACGCAGACACGCGAAACACAGACACAGGGACACACGCAGACACGCGCAGACACACGCAGACACACGCAGACACGCGCAGACACGCGCAGACACACGCAGACACACGCAGACACACGCAGACTCACGCAGACACACGCAGACACACGCAGACACACGCAGACGCACGCAGACACACGCAGACACACGCAGACGCACGCAGACACACGCAGACACACGCAGACACACGCAGACACACGCAGACACACACAGACACACGCACAGAAACACAGACACACACAGAGACGCACACAGACACACACAGACACACATACACACACACGCACGCACACACACACAGACACAGACATAGACATAGACACAGACACACACACAGAGACATATACAGAGACACACACACACAGAGACACACACAGAGACGCACAGAGACGCAGACACACAGACACACAGACACACAGAAACACACACGCAGACACACAGACACACAGACACACAGACACACACACACCCACACACCCACACACCCACACACCCACACACCCACACACGCACACACGCGCACACGCACACACGCACACACCCACACACCCACACACGCACACACCCACAGACACCCACACACGCACGCACGCACGCACGCACGCATGCGCACGAATACCAAAAACACAAGCACCCACACAAACACAGAAACACACAAACACGCAAACACGCAAACGCGCACACACGCAAGCACATATACACAAACACACAAACACTCACGAACACATACAAACACAAACGCGCAAACACAAACACACAAACACGCAAACATCCCCCCTACCTTGAGGGGGAGGGGGTTGGGGTCCCCAATTCCATTTATCTAGTCTTCCCCATCAAAGGAAAAATGGAACCACAAATGAAATTCCAGGGGTCACCCCCCTCCCCCAATTCCATTTAAGGGGGTGGGGATACACAAGCAGACAAACACACACTGACAAAACACACAAAGACACAACACACTCAGACACAAGCACACACACACACACGCATGCACGCCCGCACACACACAAACACGCGTTCCCAAGCACACACACATAAACAGTCATAAACACATACACCCACACACACACAACCACACACAACCATACACACATCAGACACAACCACACACAACCGCACACACACAAAAAACCGCACACGCGCACGCTCACGCACGCTCGCAACCACACACACGCACACACGCACACACGCAGACACAGACACAGACACAGACACAGACACAGACACAGACACAGACACAGACACAGACACACACACACACACACGCACACGCACACGCACATGCACGCGCGCGCACACTCATACGCACACGAGCACACACACAGAGACACACACAGACACACACACGGACACACACACACACGGACACACACACAGACACACACACACACATAGACACACACACAGACACACACACACACACTCAGACACACACACACACAGAAACCCACAGACACACACACACACACAGAAACACACAGATACACACACACACACGCGCGCGCACACACGCACACACCTGAGGGGCGGTTGGTTCTTATGCGCCACGCACGTTTTTGACTCCCGGCGCGGTTTTGCCAGGTAACCAGTCTCAAAACAGCATTCGCTGCACGCGCCAGTTCATCAGAGTGTTTGGGCCAGTGCCTAACGGGGCGCGCTAAATCGATGTTGAGTTTGCAACCCAGTCTCAAAAAGAGTCCGCGGCGCGCGGCAATTCAATAGGTTGCGCGTTAGGCGCAGCACTTTTGCAAGGCCAGGCACTTGCTCGCGGCAGGTGCAGCACTGTAAAGATTCACTGCAGGTGGGGCAAGGTGGGGCACTTTTGGCGGCCAGGTGGGGCACTATCGCAAGGCCAAGTACAGACTAGGCGCAGGTGGCAGGCACGGCGCTTTCCGAAAATAGACGCGTAGCTGAGACGGTCGAGAAATCAAAAGATGGGTTGGCAAACAGATAAGCACACCAATCGATAGATAGCCAGATAACTGGAAAAGGAACGAGATTAGATAGAAAGGATGGATCAATACCGAAATAATTAAAAACTTGTTGGTCTCAAGAGGCCTGTGCGGAATCCAACGCAGAATTATATTCTTTTTCTTGTTTCAAAGTTTTCTGCGCACTCTTTATATTCTTTCTATGGTTTCAACATGTTTCTGTGCATTCTTCATGTTCTTGTTATTGTTTCAATTTTTCTGTGCTTTCTCTAATCCGCTCCCCCTATTAATGAACGACCCCAATTAAAAAAATGGAAATCTGGGGCCCGGGACCAGATTTCCACTCCGCACAAACCAATACTAAAGTCTTGGAATCCTTATTGGGGGCACTTTTAACAAGCTTCCAGCCCCACTTTGAAAAAAGGTGGATTCCCCAAAAGATGAATTCCCTAAAAGGTTGCTTATTTGGGCGGTGTCCCTCAAAAGAAAACATGTCCCCAAAGGCTGTCTAGCTGCGACTGTCTCTCTCCCGTACATGCTGGCTAACCTGCCTGGCTGCAAACAAACAACCAGTAAACTGAAAAGCAAATAGAATGATACATAAAATGTCCTTATTAAACCGCTTACTCGGGGACCTTACAATTCAATCCATTTCCTCCAAATCCTATGTGAACCCTCACATTGTTGGAAAAGCAATAAAACCCAACCCCAAAAACCCTAATTGCAAATATATATATATATATTGGATGATTTTTTTTATAATAGGGAGGGGGGGCGTATTTATTAATAGGGGGAAGAGATTACCTTGTGTTCTTTCATTTACTATCTTAACGTCTTTCTGCACATTCTTTTCGGTTGGTGGCTTTCAGCTGCTTTCCGTTTCACTTCCTCGCGCCGAATCACCGCAGCAGTCATTTCGCTTGTGCGCGTTGGCGCTGCAAGGGCGCGACGCAACAAGATCTCCACTGCTACCCCTGCCCCGTGCATTCAAAGCACTTTCCTTCTCCCTTTTGCGCTGCTTGGCAACCCGCGGATGTGACAACCACCCGACGCAAAAACTGACGGCGGGCATAGATGGCCTCTGCGTCCAGACTTAATACGCCCCTCTCGACCACTTGGGGCGTGCCCAGGCTTGCAAATCCAGAAGCCTTTCTTTCTTTCGTTCTTTCTTGCGCTGCTGCTGCTTCCTAGATCGCCTGAGCCGCAGATTTCAAAGCAGTCCCGGTCTATGACCAGGCCGGTCTAAGATCCTGCCTCGCTTGCGCGCGAGGAGCTTCAGAATCTGGGCCAAATCCAGATCTGCCATGGCAACTTCCGACTTGGGCCAGAACGGCAAGACGCGCGCCAAACTTCCGCCCTAGCAAAGTTCCAGCTTTAGTGGTTCTGCAAGAAATGGAGCGACTTTCTCCTGCAAAAGCTCGCGGCAAGAGCTTGCGTAGAGCGCGCGGGATGTCACATGGCGTGCAGGGCTGGGGGTTCGGGATCGACTACTTTGAACTTTGAAACATGGATTGGCCCCGACATGCTTGAAACCTGCGCTCGTGTTCTTTCCACCCCCCTGCCCTAACCCTGCTGGGCCACAAGCAGCAGCATTATATATAAGGCTGCAAACGGTTGCCTTCGCTATAAAAAGTCAAACGAAAACATCCATTGCCCCAAACATTGCAAAGATTGCGTCAAAACATGTGTCCAAACATAATGTGATATTTTGTTAAGAAAAACCTTCTGAAGAATATTCCAAAACCTCAAACAATGTTATGAAGAATGCTCCGAAACTTTGGTCCAGAAAACAAAACGAAGAAGAATAGTCCGAATTATTTGCCCTAGAAAAAACAGATAAGGAATATTCGTAAAATAATGTGTGAACCTTGACATTGTTGGAAGAAACCTTTCATTTATTTTCCTTGGGGGTGGCCCACAGGCCTTCTTGAGGTCCGCCCAATAAACAAACAGATAGAGAGGCTAGACGGAAAGTAGAAGATAGATAGAAAAGATGGACACATTAGCTAAGTTGAACGGATTGGCAGATAGGTAAAGAGGTAGACTAGGACTATGAGTATATAGGGAGAAATAAGTAAATTAAGAGAAAAAGAGGTAGAAAGGGAGAGATGGAGAGATAGCGAGAGAAAGAGATAGAGAGAGAGAGTAAGAGAGATAGTGAGAGGTAGAGGGAGAAAGGGAATACAGAGAAAAAGAAAGAAAGAAAGAAAGAAAGAAAGAAAGAAAGAAAGAAAGAAAGAAAACAAGAAAGAACAAATGGAGAGATGGAGAAATATAGGGATAGAGAGATGTAGAGATATAGAGAAAAAGGTAGCTAGATAAGAACCGATCGAAACAAAGAACAACTGAAAGAGAAAGTACATATGGAAAATGTGAAGAGAAAAGGAAAGAAAGAGAAGAGACAAGATAAATAGAAAGGGGCACAGCCAGAAGAGAATGAGAGAGAGAAAAGGAAAGGGCATGAGAAAGAGAACGAGAAAGAGTAAGAGAACGAGCAAGAAAGAGCTCCACTGGCAATGTCAGTGCGTCAAGTTCTTGGTGGCCGAGTTTTGAACCAGACCTTTTGAACGCCCACACGTGGGGAGAGGCCCATTGCCCCGCGCAGCAGAAGCGTCAAAACCTGCACGGCGCCCTGCCTATCTCTAACCCTTCGGGAGTGCCAGTGCGTTCTTCCAGCCAAGCCAACACTCCAGCCTGCGCAAGTCAAATATTGTCCGACTCGCGGCAGCTTCAAGTGCGCCAGCTCAAGTAGTTGGATAACGGGCTTCGCCCCAAACGCAAACTGCAGGCTTTTGTCCAACCGTCGCACCATGGATACTGCAAGTGTCCCAATTAATCTACCTAGCGTTTCCCTTGCCGAAGGAAACACGATGCGCCTCGGTGTCCGGCGGGTCCTGGAAGCGCAGCGCGTTTGATTTTTCTGCGACAAGGGGCCTGAGGTAGATGAACCGCACAGAACATCATTCATGAAAAGCCCCAGCTGGTGATGCGTGAAAAAGTACAAAGGGGCATGTGAAACAAACCGTCTTCCGCGTCATGTTGGCAACCCGAAAGATCAATCGCACATGCCGACGAAACAAACACTGACAAACTGGCCACTACCCAAACAGACACACAACCCAAACAGAAAGTAAATACCCGACACGAGGAGAAACAGACAAACAGGCAAACAGGCAAACAGAAGCAAACATACAGAAAGACAAAGAGACGAACAAAGCGAGGCAGGACAGAAAGAGAGACAGAGACAAAGGAACCGAGGCAGAGACAGACAAAGCGAAAGAAAGACAGAGAAACAGGGCAACAGAAAGCGTGCAACGCATGTGGCACGCAATAGCCCCTCTTTCGGCCAAAGCACAGACATTGCCAGCCTCCACGTGGCGTGGTGCCATCCACACAATCACGGCACGGGCGCGGCTTGAAAAACATTCGCGTGATGAAGCCTTGGATGTGGCGCGTGCCCCGCTGCCCGCTCCGAACCAACCAGTCTAAGGCACTGCGCCTGTCACATGTGCCCCAGCGTGTCCAAAGTAGTGCCTCTCACGAAATCTGCAGCGTGTCCCAAAAACTGCGCCCAAAAGTACCATTGACAGCTGTTTAACCGCGATTTACAAGGCCATGCGCTCACGACCGCAATTGCAACTTTTCACAGCCATTCGGGACCCCCGCGTCCACACCAACATTTACACAGATATTGAGAAGTTTTCACGGATTTTCCATGACGTCGTCCTTTCACGGCATGCGGGGGCGGAGCCGGTCAAACGGAATTTTCAAACTCGGAAGTTGCGATCAAATAGATGTACTGCGCCGAAGCTGACTGACCGCTCCAAACCAACCAATCTAAAGCCATGCTTCCTGTGGTTGCGGTTGTTTAGCTCACGGCGGCGACTGCTCACCGAAAAAGCCAGGTGGTCCGTGACCCAAGGCTGGAGGTGAAGACCCCCAAGTTTCGGCAGGATCCTGATTGCTTTGTTTGGCCAGGCGGGCTCTGCCGTCCGCGTTGGGTTTGAAGCGACTTCATCGAGAATGTAGAAAACGTTCTGACGTCCACCTCCGGGCAGTCGAAGTGATAGATCTTGGATTGATGTTCTGGCTGCGATGAAGGGATCATGCCACTGTGCTTTCAGCATCACATGTGTAGTTCTCAAGCTGGATGCTTTCGAAACACATTGCGCTGACGAATCTTGCTCTCAACTCGCTCCGGGCTGTGAAAAACAGTGCCATGGATTTGTCGTTGAACGGGAACGCGTCTCGGTGTCGCTGCGTCATTCCTGCTACGCTTTGCTCCGATCCGGATTCAGGAATTGCGCGGGCTGCGCTCCAGCACCAGGTAGCTGCTGCTGCGCCGCTCTGCTGACATTTGCCTCTTGCGCTGCGCCGTTTGACGATGATTCTTCCACAAGGATGTCAATCTTCTCAGCAGGATCTCCAACTTGGATACAACTCGGTGTTGTTCCCTCTCTGCTTGCAAAAACTCAGGAGTCGACCAAAACACACAGTGGTGGATCCTTTCAGGAAGTACTTCTTGAGGGTGTTCTTGAACTTCTTCTGCTGTGTCTCTGAGCTGCTCGTTGTCGATACAGGAGCACGTCCTCTGTGAGTCTGCTCTTGAGGACAGGCCCCCCAACGTTCCGTCACACAAGGCGGCAACGAAGCAGAAGATACCCATTGATGTCTGGCGGCGAGGGGTACAAGTGGAGCCTGCGTGTACACGTAGCAATGGCTTTTTCTCTCTCCTGCGCAGTGTGCTATAAGAAGGGCGTTCAGCCAATATGACGTCGTGAATCGTAGATTGCGTGAAGGTCAAGTGCATGGAAAACCAAACAGGGGGTGTGCGCAAAAAGGAATATAGATGTTTGTGTGTACGCACGTGCGTATGTATGTGTGGAAGCATGTTTGCGTATGCATGCATGTATTCATGCGTGTTATCGACTTGGGCGGGTGTACTCTTTTGGTCACTGAGCGCCCATTCCTCTACACATGCCAGCCAGCGTTTGGTGCCAGCATGTTCCCGTATTAGACCGAGATCAGCTCTCTTGAACATCTAGCACTCGCTTCTGGAACACACTTACCTCGTCAATCAGTTCCTGCACTCGGGTCTACGATAGTTGTCCACCACTGTTGCATGCGCATATTCATGTCATGTGTCTTGTTGCGCATATCTCTCTCTCTCTCTCTTCATGACGTCGCGCAGCATGTAGATCGCGGAACCGCACACGTCGTCATAAGTGGCATCAACACCGCGATCCAGAGGTACTTGACGGCATCGTTAGACATGTTTCCTGGGTTCCCAAACGTCTCAATTGCGTCAACCACCGGCGTCACGCATACCAGCGTCGCAATCATTAGGCCATTTGCAAACGACCTCCTCCGGTCGCCCTTATTGCGAGCGCGAAGTTCTGCAGAGTTGTGGCCAGCTCAATAAAAGTCCGCATGCAGCCTGTTGACCTTCGCGCCGTCAGTCTTAGCCTCAGCCCAGCTATGCTCCAAAAATGTATGTTCCTGATTGACGGTCGCTGAGTTGACTGAAGTGCCTCTCCACGTGCAGCGAAATGCGGGGGAGCATGTCGCAACCCCCTTGCTCAAGCACTGAAACGCCGCAGAATGGTATTCACAAGTATAGACGTGTGAAACTGTGTTGCCCTTAGTTTCCCTTCCAGCACACAGGCCATGGCTATGGTTTCCGCAACAACGATTCAAAGGGATTCCCCAAAAACAAAGTTCCAGGAGTCAACTCTCCAAGGCTTCTTGATGGGTAAAGCTGCGGTCGGGGCCGGCATCGTTTGCCAGATAAGTTCATCTCTGCGCGAGGGCCTTGGTGGATCAAGTTTCTACAAGCAGCAATGCCTGAATCCAACGCGTTTCGCCACAAGCTCATCTACCAAAGAGATACGAGCAAGGCGTTTGGTTGACTCGGGCGGCGTAGAAGATTGCAAGCTAGAAGATGAGAACTTGAGCTCGGTGGCATGAAGTCTTGTAGTCAGCGCTTGTTTGTGAGAAGACTTAGGGGCGGCTTCCATCTGCAAGGCTTCTACAAGTGAAATACTTCGTCGTTCAAGAAGCTCCGGCTCAGAAGTAGCCAGCGTGCTTGCACTCGATTCTCCTGAGCCGGGCGAAGTGCGAGCTCAAGGGAAGGTATGCAACATCGTTGCGATTCAATGGCAACAAATTAAGACGACAGTTGAACGCGGGCTGGGCCTGGGCTGCAGGCCCCGACAAAATCAGTCTGGTCAGCAAGCTGCGATTTCCTATGAGCAGCGGCGTCAGCATGCACACCTGAAGCTCCAAAGCTTGCGCCGCCTCGCGCATCCTCAAGCATAGCATTGTCACGACAGGTTGGCAGAAGCTCGCCAGCTTCAAAAGACAAGTCTGGAACTCGGTCCACAAATGGACTGTCCACGCAATCAGGATGGCAGCAAATGACGAACATGCCAGCCACTTTGCAATCGTAATATCTCTCAAGGGTCTTGTCGTATACATTAAGCTGTATGTAGCCTGTGCTGCCAGAGAGTCGCATCTGGCATGTCAGGACAGCACCACGCACGAGTTCGACGATTGTTAATGTCAAGGAGGACAGCGTCACGCACGAGCTGGTTTTAAAAAAGGCCTCATCTTCTAGCTTGCAGTCTTCTACGCCGCCCGCGTCAACCAAATTCTGGAGGCAGAGCCTGCTCTTTTTCACAGCTTCCCACGCCCCTTTTTTTTGGCGACCAGTCTGCGTGGCGAGATGCGTTGGATGAAGGCACCGCTGCTTGTACAAACTTGACCCACCAAGGCCCTCGCGCAGAGATGAACTTATCCGGCAAACGATGCCAGCCTGGCCGACCGCAGCATGAAGCGATTCAAGGCTTACAAGGAAATCCTATGCTTAGGCGTTCAAGCTTCAATATTGGATGACCTGCCAAGCCCAATTGAGTATTCAGTGCCTAAGAGGACGTGGGAGGCAGCAGCTTTTGCAGCTCGTAGTCGAGCGTGCGGTGACAGACTTGGCGGCACGTCCAGTCGCATAACGCCTTCACAAGCTTCTACTTTCCCTTCACACAAGCCAGAGGATTCTCGTGTCGAGCGCAGGGAAGGTCTGGCCCTTGCAGACGCTTTGTCCCAGCAAATGAAAGAAGAAATGGTTGAGCAAGCAGTTTCGGACTTCGCAGTGCTTCCAGGGGAGGCAGTGACTGACGACACATGGCAAATCTGAAGAAGCGAAGGCTTCTTCCCGGCGTTGCAGATTCAGACAAAGACTTTGGTGATGACCCGCCAGTCACCATTCACTGTAACTCGCACATGCCATGGCAACTGAGATGCGCCCAGGCGCAGTTCGATGACCTTTCCCGGCAGTCCCGGACCAGCGGCAACAGCGTCAAGTTGATGCCTTGAGCAGGTCAGGTAGCATGCCTGTTAGGCCGGGAACAACAAAGCTTTCAATGTCTGGAAAGACACAGAGTGGTTGTGATGGGTGACGGCTCAATTCCGCTTGAGAAGAAGCCCTCAATCTACAGCAAATAGATGAGAGACCTCACTCGCCTTCAAACCAGAAACCTCGTCGGACACAAGAAAAGCTGGCATGATGGTGTATTGATTGCAGCAAAGGATTTTGATACTGAAGACAACGAATATAAACCATTGCGTTCCACTATTGACTTCAAAGTCATGTACGCAGGTGTCTCGCTGTTCAAAGGCTGCGCCGCCATGCGGACCAGGCTTGGTGGCAAGTGAGAGGTTTCGCCAGCAGGGTTGCGAAGTTGCGTGTCGATGCAGCGCATGTTCTGACGTTCCTCAGTCAGGTCCGGTCAAGCAGAAGCGCTGAAGCGCCAAACGTAGAGACTCTGAAAATTTCCATCAGTCGAAAAATCCAGAAGTGCAAGCGAGCCAAACCGGCAGAGTTGAACTGTCCGTTATT